AACACGAGGAGAAGTTCACGGTGTCTGCGGCGCAGTGCCGTCTGAACCTTCTGGAGCACATCGAGTCAGTCCACCATCAGATCAGCGCCAGGATGGAGCTGATGGAGCGAGAGCTGGACGGTAACAGAACACGAAGGAACGTCCTGACCTCGGCCGCGCGGTCCGTCAGAACAATGAACACGTTTCACTTGTCTTTTCCAGTTCTGGAGTCCTGGTTGGACCACACGGGCGAGCTGGAGCCCCCGGACCCTTTGTCCCGCCTCCCGCAGCTCAAGCAGCGAATCAGGCGCCTGCTGGGTGACCTGTGCGTGGTGAGACGCCTGGCGGTCTGCCGCTGACGCCTCGGACGGAGACACTTGGACATCTGAGAGCTTCATTCTTTTAGTGGCTGCTCAGCGGCGCCCCCGGTGGAGACGAGGTGCACTTTAACCACATTTCTTCTGACTGAACGTCACAGAGCTTCCAGCAGGACTCGTCATGAGCCCACCATTGTTGACCCGGTTCTGATCGGCTCCTGTCGTCCCCGTGTGGCTTCAGAAACTGAACGACAGAGAAGCTTTAACGACGAGGTCTTTTATAGGTCAGATGTTTCTCCATGTTTGTAGCAGCTGGTTTTTAATTTTAAAAGGACGAAAAACTCCGAGCTCTTCTCTTGTTGGGCCCGTTTTCTCTCCCAGAACCTTCAGTTTGGGTCATTTCAGAACCACGAGGAGTCGGGCAGAAACCAGAGACTGTGCAAAAAACGGACTCGGTCTGAAAACTGAAGCCAATGCAGAGGTTATTTAAAGGGACAGTTCAGATGTTTTTAAATGACGCTCTGTGGGAATATTACGACTCGCGATTCTTTGAACAACTTCAGTCTGGAGAACTTTTTAAAGAGTTCTTTGGAATTTAATTTTTAGTGTTTTTCATGTTTGGATGAGTCAAAAGAAAAAAACCTACAAAGTAAGAAAAAAAACATGTTTCCAACACTTCTTATTGCTTTAAAAAATATCTGAGTTGTTGAAATGTGCAGGAAGTATTTCAAGTTGACTAAACCAACTCAGACTGTACAGGACGTGCTACAGCTAGCTGCTGCTGCGCAACAATTCTTTGAAAAATAAACATGTAAATAAGAAGCTGACCGTGATGTAACGGTCTGTAAAACAACGTTATGATGAAGAGCGCATGTCTGACGCAGGTGAGTCACGTGATGTCAGCCGAGCGCTTTGCTGACGTTGAGCGCGGACCTGCGTTCCAGACCTAAACATCAACGCAGAGCACTATCCAAGTAAACAACTAAAAATAAAATAAACAACAGGAACGATTAAAACAGCTCAGAATAAACTGTTTATGTTTGATTTCACATTTTAGTTTAAACTTCAAACTGAGGTGGTTCAAAGTTCAATGTGCAACAGGTAAGATACTGACTGTTCATAACCCTGTACAAATGTCCACCCCGTCTTTTCCCTGGCGGCCAGCAGGAGGCGCTGCTCCCCAGTCTCTGCCTGCTGAACCCAGGATCACTGGATACAGTCTGGTGGAGCAGATGGTCCCGGTCCAGTGGAACAGATGGTCCTGGTCCTGCTGGGACACACTGAGGACTGACCCCCAGACGTCCAGTCCTGTGAGAAACGAGTCTCTTCCCGCTCTGCGGCCGAGCTGCAGGTTTAAACTTTGGTTCGGAGTCGATTCCATGAACCAAAGTTTAGCTGGTCTGAGAGGAGACGACCCGGCAGAACTTGGATCAGAACGAGTCCAGGGCTGCACGGATCAGACCCAGAAGATTTTCTACCTTCAAGTCAGAGAACATTAAATCTTTAGACTCCTGACCCGCTCCCGTGTGTCGGACTTCCTGAGGTTCTTTCAGAGTTTTTATTTTTTTTAAACTTCGGCTGATTTTTCACTCAGCTTCAGTTTTTACAGCTAAAATCTGCAGTTTGCGTTTCTGAAGGACAAAAAGTGTTGAATCTAAAATAAGTGACTATCTGCAGTTGTATGTGAAGTCCTGCCGGTCTGTAGCTGAACTTTAGCTGTTACTCTTCAGCTAACAGCTAAAATGCTGTCAGACTGTGGCTGTTTGGTGTTTTTCTGCAGAACCAGGGACAGATTGTGTCTCTGTGGCAGACCGTTCTGTTGACACCCTTCTGGTTCTGACGGGACCCGTTCAGAGGTCCGAGTTAAGCCTGGGTCTGATCCAGAACCACTCTGATCTGGTTCTGGTTGTGTAAAGGAACAGGAGTAGCTTTAATGTACATACGGTGCGTTCACTGACTGGACCGGCTCACGGGTTTTATTCAGAGCTTTGCTCACCGGGTCGGTCCAGTTTTCATGATCAGCTTTTTGTTTTGGCTTTCAATAAAAATGTTCACTCCTCGGTGTCTGCAGCGTGACTGTCTGTGGGTCGGAACCCTGGATCGTAGAACCGTGTGGGTCAGAACCCTGGTCTCTAGAACCTTGTGGGTCAGAACCCTGGACTCTAGAACCATGTGGGTCGGAACCCTGGACCGTAGAACCGTGTGGGTCGGAACCCTGGACTGTAGAACCGTGTGGGTCGGAACCCTGGACCGTAGAACCATGTGGGTCAGAACCCTGGACTCTAGAACCATGTGGGTCAGAACCCTGGACTCTAGAACCATGTGGGTTAGAACCCTGGACTGTTTATTAAATTTAAATCCAAATTAAATGTAAATTTACTGAAATCATCTCAGTCTCAATCTTGTAAGATTAAAGTGAAAATCTTGGAAATCAACAGAATTAAATTAATTAAATCGTCCGCGGTTCATAACAGCTAAACGTTTTGTCATACTTTGAAATTCAAAAATACTTTTTTAATCCCAGAGGGATTAAAATTAAGAAATATATTTTAGAAATAAAAATATTTATTCAGAACAAATATCGTAGTTTTGTCTAAAAAAGTTAAGTCTGGTCCTCTGGACATTCAAAAAAACTAAACAAACAGAAATCATAGTTTTGTCTGCAGTTTGAGTTTGGCAGGAGGACACAGATTCTGAGGTCAGATGTGCAGGACATGTATGAGGACAGCAGGACATGTATGAGGACAGCAGGACATGTATGAGGACAGCAGGACATGTCTGAGGACAGCAGGACATGTATGAGGACAGCAGGACATGTCTGAGGACAGCAGGACATGTATGTGGACAGCAGGACAGTGGTGAGATGTGCTGCAGGAGTGACAGATAGCTTCAAGGTGGAGATGGGAGTGCATCAAGGATCCGCTCTGAGCCCCTCCTTGTTTGCTCTGGTGATGGACCGACTAACAGATGAGGTCAGGCAGGAATCCCAGTGGACGATGATGTTTGCAGATGATGTGATCTGTGGTGAGAACAGAGAACAGGTGGAAGAGAACTTGAAGAGGTGGAGGTATGCACTTGAAAGAAGAGGAATGAAAGTCAGCCGTAGTAAGACAGAGTACATGTGTGAATGAGAGGGAGGAGGTGGAACAGTGAGGCTACAAGGAACAGAGGTTACAAAGGTGCAGGACTTCAAGGACTTGGGGTCCACTGTCCAGGAACATGGGGAGTGTGGTGAAGAGGTGAAGAAAAGAGTCCAGGCAGGATGGAGTGATGGAGAAAAGTTTTAGGAGTGATTTGAGACAAAAGGGTGTCAGCAAAGGACAAAGGAAAAGTTTACAAGACAGTGGTGAGACCAGCTATGTTGTATGGTCTGGAGAAAGAGACATGGACAAAAAGACAGGAGACAGAACTGGAAGTAGAAATAAAGATGTTGAGGTTCTCCTTAGGAGAGACAAGGATGAAGAAGATCAGGAATGAGATCATCAGAGGTACAGCACAGGTTGAACAACTGGGAGATAAAGTTAGAGAGGACACACTGAGATGGTTTGGACATGTCCAGAGGAGGGACAGTGGTTTGGACATGTCCAGAGGAGGGACATTGGTTTGGACATGTCCAGAGGAGGGACAGTGGTTTGGACATGTCCAGAAGAGGGACAGTGGTTTGGACATGTCCGTGTAGTGGCTAAAACTACATTGAATATTTTTGAGATCATTAAATAAAAAAGGAAAAAGACAAAGAGGAGATACCTGGATGCAGTTAGAGAGGACACCGAGGACAGAGTGAGACAGAGAAGGACTCGCTGTGGATACACCTGAAGAGAGAAACGCCGAAAGGCAAAGAATGTTTCTGTGCAGTGCCCTGAGATAAATTCTGTTTTTTAATTGGCGCTAAATAATAATAATAAAGTGAATTTAAAAGTTCCCTCCTTCCTAGCCCCTCCTTTGCTCCGCCCACATGTTAGGTGAACGTAGCTCCTCCCCCGTGTTGATTTTGACGTGGCTCCGCCCCGGACTGTCCGCGTGCTGCTGTTTTCCAGAAAAGAGGAGTCTCGCGACCGACAGTTAGCTGCTGAACTCTAAACCTGTTGGATTTAACGGAACTTTAAACGGTGTCTGCAGCTTCCGGTGAGTAACGAAGCTGCTAATTAACCTGCTAACGAGCCTGATAACTAACCCGCTAATTAACCTGCTAACGAGCCTGATAACTAACCCGCTAATTAACCTGATAAACTGGCTAACTAACAAGCTAGCCGCTAGTCGTCGGCTAATTACCCAGATTAAATGAGCTAATGTGGCTAATCGTAGGTGGACCTGGTTTAGCTCAGAACGGTTCGGTTCTGTTCCTTTTGATGATGGCGTCACTGTTTCTGGTTCTGTGTGTGTGTGTGTGAGCGCGCGTTTGTGTGTTAGAACCGAGGTCTCCCATGGTAACGGATCGTTGCTAACGGATCGTTGCTAAGACGGTTCGGTTCCGTTACCATCCGGTCCTGGTTGTTGGTGCCGAGTGGGCGGACAGCTGAGCCAGAACCATCAGGTTCTGATCCAGCCCTCCCTCGCAGCTCGGCCCAGTCGGCTTTTATCAAACGCTCTTATCTGAGGTTCTGGAGTCCGAACCACTGGATCTCAGAGGTTCGGCATCAGCCAGGAGCTGCTGATCAACTGTATCGATTACCTAACCAACAAATGGTGCACAGGTGTGTTAACACAACGCCAAGGCGGAAAGAGTCAGCAGTGATTTTAAAGGGATAGTCCGGTCATTTGAGGCGGTGTTCCGACGGTAATCAGCCGTGACGTCACTCAGAGAGCTCAGGTGTGGAGAAAAGACAAAATACTTCGTCTGGGTTTGTCTAAAGACAAACAAAGTATTTACTATTTTCAGGTTTAGTGAACTCCTGAGAAGGGACGCCACATTATTGTGACGTTAGAATAAAGACCCTACGTTAGTGTTCTTAATGAAGCCCAGCTGATATTGGAGGTGCGGGCTAATGCCTATAACCGATACACTTACAGTTTTTTAAATCTATGTCCACCCCAAAAATCTGAAGTAAACGGCTACTTTTAAAAACCTGTTTATACACTTGTTACAAAGATAAGAATATGACCAAATAAACACAAGTAGGTATCTCTGCAGACAAATTCAGAGTGTCTGGGGGGCCACATCTGATTGGGCAATATAAAATGGGCGTGTCTGGCCGGCCACATCTGATTGGACATAGAAAAATGGGCGTGTCTGGCCGGCCACATCTGATTGGACGATAGAAAAAAAGGCTGACCGATAAAAAGCCATTCTGTTAACCACAGACACATTATGTGTAAAAACAAGGCGTTATTGGCAGATTGTGTTAACCACAGACACATTATGTTTTTGGTGTTGTCTTCATGCACCCTCTGGATACATTCTACAACCGTGTGATTTACCAGTAAGGACACGGTTTGTTTCCAGTGTTTATCTCGGTGTATAATGGAACGGTTATCGCCGATACAACGTGTCCCCAAACGCCTGTATCGGCCTAAAATATCAGCCCTACGATGTATCGGTCGGGCTGTAGTTCCGTTAGCTCAGGTAGTTTATGTCGACAGTACTGAAACTGCTGCGTACGCGAGCGCCACACGAACATTAAAGTAACACGGACCAGTGTCCCCCCACCATTATAAAGGAGCGCGGCCCCTCCACCCAGCTTGAACTTTATTTTTGGACACTGTCTGACGATCAGTCCTTGAACTTGTAGCGGAGCGCGTCGACCGACAGGAGGGTGTCTGCTCGTGTGAAGCGCTTGTGGATGTTCGGACATGTTTGTTGTGAGACACGAGGCGGTGTGTGACCGCGAGCTGTCAGGAGGCGGCAGCCTGGAAGGTGTTAGGTTTTTAAATTTTACATTTCATTTGTTCCATTTGTGAAGACTTCTTTATTTTGGTCTTTTCAGTGTCACCTTTTCTCTGCATCTGGGACAACATCTGGATGTGTTCAAATGTCTTTCTTACTCGCCTGTTTTCAGGTTGATCGGAGGTCAAACAGGTTCATTATGGAGGAGCTTCATGACGTCCAGCTGACTGAGATCAAGCCCCTGCTCACAGGACAGGTGAGGGGGCGGGGCTTAGCGCAAAGCACGACCTCACAGACGTTAACGACATTCAGCAAAAACACCTGTTGTGGAAAAATGAGTTTAAAATGTTTTTGTTAAATTATGTTCTCGTTTTTCTGCTCATCCTGCTGAAGTCTCTCATAATTCAGAAGACATGAAGTCATGAACCCACAGCCAGTTTTATTAATATATTACTTTTATTTAAATATTGTATTATTATTTAAATAAGGGTTACAACAGTAGAAGTGTGACTGAAGAGTTTCTCTGTGGTTCTTTCAGAATGGGAGTAATCTGCAGGACTTTGACTGTCAGGTAAGACCCGGAACAACCGAACAACCTGAAACTGTTTCATTAACAAGTTATCAGACTGACAGACCGACTGGGGAGTGTCTGATTTACAGACATTCTGTTTGCTCCTGAACACATCATGTGAAGGAGTCAACCTCAGTCAGGAAGTTAGTTTCTGCCTCTGCTCCCCTGAAAGAACGAAACCTCGACTGAACATGCTGAAAATGAGCTGGGAAAGCTAAAAGAAGCACAACACTAGCCAAAAGCTAAAAGTAGAATCGAATAGAAACGGTCTTTATTGTCCCACAGAGGGGAAATTGAAGTGTAACAGCAACAACAGATATAAAGCAGAATGCTAGCTAAAAGCTAAAAGTAGCAGAATGCTAGCTAAAAGGTAAAAGAAGCACAACACTAGCTAAAAGCTAAAAGTAGAATCTCCTCCGTACATGTGGAGAGTCTCCCACACGCCGTTGGTCAAACTCAAAACGAGCCTTCTGCTGCTGTCTGTAAAGTCTTCTTCTGGCCACTCTTCATACGGACGGACAGGAACTCCAGGTCCTCGGTGCTGCCTCTGATGAATGCCTGGCCCGCTCCTCTCTTGGCAGGTTTGTTGTGGTACCATGTTCTTTCCACTGGATGAGAACGGGTTGGATGGAGCTCCAGGGATCAACAGAGAGTTGGGTATTTTTTAATAACCCAACCCTGACTTGTCTGGAGATCTCCTTGGTCTTCATGATGTTGTTTGGTTACGGTGCCTCTTGATTAACAGTGTTTCAGAAAAGGTGTGCATGGACTGACGGATCATGTGACACTCAGACTGCACACAGGTGGAGCACGTGACACCAACTGTTCATATGGCGAGGGGGTGAATACATGTGCACGTTAGGACCATTTTCAGTTTTTTAATTCTTGGATCTATATTTTTCTTGTTTCCTGTCACAAGCTGTTCTGTGCAGATTAAAACTTTAAATACAGGTTGTAACGTAACTTTGCATCGATGAATGTTTCCACGAAGTGGAAGCTGTTCCCCCGGAGGCTCCGGTTGTTGTGGCAGCAGGAAGTGAACCTGCCGGTGTTTTGCAGGAACACGACGTGGAGACGGCCCACGGTGTGCTGCACGTTACCATGAGGGGCGTCGCCAAGGGCAACCGACCCACAATCCTCACCTACCACGACATCGGACTCAACCGTTAGTAAACAAACAGGAAACCACCGGCAGCAGAACCTCAGAGCTGGGCTTTAAACCTTTGTTTGTTTGTTTGTTTGTTTGTTTGTTTAGATAAATCTTGTTTCAACACCCTGTTTAACTACGAGGACATGCAGGAAGTGACGCAGCACTTTTCAGTTCTGCACATCGATGCTCCGGGGCAGCAGGAGAACGCTCCCACCTTCCCCACCGGGTAACAAACAAGACAACACAACAAGACAACAAGACAAAAGGACAACAACAAGACAACAACACAACAAGACAACAAGACAACAACACAACAAGACAACAACACAACAAGACAAAAGGACAACAACACAACAAGACAAAAGGACAACAAGACAACACAACAACACAAGACAACACAAAAAGACAACACAACAAGGCAACAACACAACAACTCAACACAAAAAGACAACAAGACAACAACACAAAAAGACAACAAGACAAAAGGACAACAACACAGACAACAACACAACAAGACAACAACACAAAGACAACAACACAGACAACAAGGCAACAACGCAACAAGACAACAAACAAGACAACAAACAAGACAACAAACAAGACAACAAGACAAAAGGATAACAAGACGACAAGACACAAACGCTCTGCAGGTGTCACTGCTCAGAAACGTGCAGCCCTGGACGTGTGTCGGGACTCCTGCTTTTTAAAACCACATCGAAGCACGTGTTCTCTGAACTTCGTCTGAAGGTGGGCTGTGTTGTCTCTAACCTCGGTGGTAAAATGTGAAGCTGACGGAGATGTGAAGTATTTTCATGAAGCTCTCTGGAGTTGTTTAAGACCCCAGTGATCCACCTCAGACCAGCTGTTAGCTCGTCGGTCCGCTTCTCCAAACTGAGGCCGTTGCTTCACTACGACCAGACTTCCCTTTAAACAGGAAGTGCTTCGTCGCCCCCAGGTGGTCAGTTTGAGCATCAGCTGACTCTCCTGCCTTTTTAGGAGACAAACCTTTATTTCTAAAGATTAGCTGAAGATCGTGGCAGGACATCAACATGAGACGTAAATAAAGTTTAAATGTGTTTGACTTGTTTTTGTTCTTTGAAACGTGTCTGTAGGTATCAGTACCCCTCCATGGACGAGCTGGCCGACATGCTGCCGTCCGTCCTCACGCAGTGTCAGTAAGTCTTCTTTAAGACCAGGTGCATGATGGGTAACCCAGTGGCTCTGCGTTCACTCTGGTGTCTGTGTCCTCAGGGTGAAGAGCGTGATCGGTCTCGGGGTCGGGGCTGGAGCCAACGTCCTCACCAGACTAGCTGTGAGTAAAAACAGCCAAACCTGAGAGTCATCCCCAACACACTGAGCACGACTGTCAGCAAAATATCTCCTCCCAGCATGTCAGCAAAATATCTCCTCC